GACTGCTAAAAATACTCATTCATATAGATGTTTATCTAAAAAAGCAAATTGCTAGCCTGCACCTAAGCAATAAGTACCCTGTTTCTTACACCTGGGGACCCATATTGCTCCTAAAATAAAATAAGCACCCAAGCTGATAAATTATCAAATCATTAGTTCTTACTTCTATAGTTCATTTACATCCTGGGACCCAAATGACAAGTTCTGGATAAAACAATGATAGAAGCCAGGAAACCTAATTTTTGCTGAGAGGATGTGGCTAAACCATAGCAATGTTCTGAAAGGTACTTGAGCCTGGTGCATGTCAATTAATTTCTAACAGCAGGCCTGAAACTACATGTTATTTCTATCTAGAGAAATAATACATTACTTGATTTGACTCAATAGGGTATAGCACAGAGGACATGCAATCAAATGAACACATTGACATGTACAGTCAAGGAAAGGAAATCAATGACCTTAACATCAGTGGAATATCATTCTTGGATGATTCATATCAAGGTTGTGAGGAATTTATTGAGAATGATTTGCAGCAAGAGTCTGAAACAAATAAAAACAGGGATCCCCTGACCACTTGCACTTTGAGTCCACCAATTAAAAAACTGTGCACTTCAGAGAGTGGGTCAATTTTGACAGGAAATGAACGGAAAGAAAGAAACAAGTTACATACCATACTAGAAAATGATCCAAGCCAGTCCTTTCATTTTTCTCAGTGGAAAAAAGATCAAATTGCAAAGTGCAAAGAAATAGAAGGTGGAAATTTAATTGAAGATAGCCCTTGTGTAGATGTAAGCTGTTTAACTGGTGATGAAGAGGAATCAGATCTAGCATTGGATGAGGGTACAGTGGTAGGAGAGTTTTCAGAGACCCCGCCTTTTCAGTTTACACAGTGGGCAAAGCAACAAGTTCAAGTGTGCCGCAAGATAGAAAAGGAAACAGACATTGGTGACATTGTTCTACAACGGTCGCTGAAGTCTGCTGAACAAAATAATAGACTAAAAGTGGCATCAAGAGAAAGAAATAGTGCACCAAAATTTACTGACCATTCTGATTCTCAGTTTGATTTCACAGAATGGGCAGAGGATCAGGTGCAGTTATGTAGGAATTTTTCAGACAATACAGATACAGGAAGCATAGATTGGGAAAGTGAAAAATGGGTGGAATGGATGTACAAAACAGAAAAGAGTGATCCCTGCTCACCGCTCAGTAATGAGTAAGAATTTTGATTTTCAAAGAGGGTGAAATGTTAGATTCAACAATTTAGTAGAAGACAAGAGAATAGCGGAGAGAGTCTCTAAAGACTGTAATGCTTGTTTTTTCTTAGTTATCAAAGATTAAAAATATTTCATTTAAGGGTTGAGAGCGTAGTGCAAGTTAAGAGAATATATAGTAAAGAGGGGCTATGAAGACTGAAATGTTTGTTTTTCCTCGGTTATCAAAAGTGACAAATATTTCTGTTTAGGGGTGATAGCAATTAATGAAATCAGTAATAATAATTGATAAAAATTGATGTTAATTAATTGATAGTAACTGATATTGATAAATCATTTCTGTCAGTAACCAATTACAAAAATAGAATCGCTTGATTTCAAGAACTGCTGATAAAATGACTTAGAAATGGAAGGGGATGGTATGTCTTTGTAAATGAAGAGTAACCAATGAAGGTGCTTGTTGGAAATTTTGAAAAAAAAAATTCCAGAGTCCTTATCTGTGGGGCCTTAACAAACGTTTTACTTTGTGAGTGAATTCTATCAACTGGCAAGCTCACCAGTAACAACCAAGCATACT